TGAGACATCGAGCGTCAACATGACTGGTCGAGGATTTGCATTAAGTATAGCTGTATGTTATATTTAAGATTGTATACATGGACAAACGTTATTTGAAGAATAATTATGACAAGGACGTTGTGGAGAAACGTCGTAATGAAAATTATATTGAATATAAATATTAGAAGTGTACTTATCTTTGGATAGAAATCTGGTCAGCGGTGATGAAGTCGTCATGACGGTGGTCGCGGTTGTCGTAGCGTCGTTCTTCGCGGCGATCATCATTGCGACGTGGTCTGGTGATCGATGTGGTCGGAGCTCGGCGGAGCCGCTCGGGACGTGGTCGACGTGGTCCATGGTCGACGTGGTCGGAGCCCGGCGGAGTTGCTCGGACGTGGTTGGAGTGGTCTTTGGTTGACGTGGTCGGAGCTTGGCAGAGCTGCTCGGGACATGGTCGACGTGGTTCGCTCAGCGGCTCGTGCGGTTCGCTGGTTGGCTCGGCGTGGCTCGCCTACGGTTTGGCCGACTCACTTGATGGCTCGACGTGGCTAATTTAAACAGCTCGGACGCTTCTTTTGGTAGCTCGTGCGGCTCAGTTAACAACTTGATTCGGATGGCTCCATGTATTTGGACTTGGACGTATTTCATTGTACGTATTAGTATTGTATGGATGCCGCCGATGGATGCCTTAGCACGACATGCAAGCAAGTGGATCCGCTCCCAACGCGTATATGTGCTTGTAGATGCACACATACTCCTCTATTTGCTTGTGCGTAGACCTCCGTGTGTTGCTATTGGCTTGCATGTCTAGCCCGTGCAGAACTAGGAGTCCATTGCCCGCACGCATTGAGTTGTCGAGGCCTGAGAACCGGCAGCATATGTCAAATATCGTGAGGCCAAAGTGTGAAGACGGACGGGTATGCTGATGCTGTCCACCGTGAAGTTGCAACAAGATCCTGAAGGCACGTTGCTGATTGTCAGGCCAGTAACCACTGGTCCACCATGGATGCATGTGTGTGGTGCCAAGTTTCAACCCCTCGTGTGGCGGCATGTGACAAGAAAAGCGGCTCACCGCCGAACCGGATCACGGAGATATGACATGCATAAAAATTAATCTGAGTTAGATATGTGGAGAGCAGATTGATCTAATCAAAAGCGTTGCTCAGAACGACTCACCCGATTACTTGGTAGAAATCAACGAAAATTCCCATCTGGCTCGTCGAAAGATCAGCGCGCACAACCCCTAAAGGGGACCCCTACCTGGCGCGCCGCTGTCGATGAAATATGGTCGGTAGTCCACCGAGGGGGTGCTCATGGTGGTAGATTATCGGTAGACGATGCGTGTAATCAGGAACCAGATGGTGACACAAGGCGCAGAGACAGCGATTTAGACAGGTTCAGGCCGTCTGGTCGACGTAATACCCTACGTCCTGTGTCTTTGGTGTATTGTATTGAGATGTATACATATTAACCTGTCCTCTAGGGGACCCTTGTCTCTCCTTATATACTCCGAAGAGACAAGGTTACAAGTAAAGTATCAAATTTGGTACTGTTATAATATCTAGTACAACTTGTAATCTTGATGTGCACGCCTTGATCTTACAGGCCGGGCCACCTCGGATGGTGCGGCCCATGTACCATCTTGTGGTACCCGGGGTATATCCCCCACAGAGGACAACCTAGGTGCATTACACCATCAACTGCAATGTCATCATCTCCAAGGCAATGCAGCTCCTCCCGACCCCTTGCAACCATGTCACTAAATGAAGGCCTATCATTGAGTAGCACAGGCACGCTTTGCATGTCAAGAAACTCAACATATCCATAGCGATTGCTTTCAACGGTGCCTCCATGATATATGGTCACTAGGTTGTCCATCTAATTCAAACAAGTAACGAAACACATGTTCTTTAGTCCAAATTAGACGATAGATAGTACCTAACAAGTACTTTCTAACTATAAACTAAGTAATCAAGATAATAACTACGTATATATTTACAGTGTACTCACTAAATAGCTAGATCATATGTAGATAACTAAAAATATAACTACATATCTAAGTACATATCTAACTATATCTATGTGCCTATGTGTCTATATTTCTATCTATCTATCTATCTATATATCTCACTAGATTACTAACTAAATCAACTACCTGAGTCATCACATTAACTAATAAATATCAAATACCAACTAAGTAGGTACATTGCATATTCATAATTTTTACCTTTTCGGGCCAGCGGACGATGGGTGTGGGTCAGGCCGAAGATCCGGGCAGCGGCGATGCCTGTGCAGCAGACGACAATGGTGGCGCCTGGCCTTGAGGATGCCGGGGCTACTGCGCGCGTGAGTTCGGCTCGACGGTGCGGCTTGACCTCGGTGACGGTGGAGGGCAAGCGTGGGCGGTGGTGGAGGCGGGCGGGCGTCGCGGCGGCCAACCAACGTGGGCGGCAAGAATACACAAAGACGCCGAGGCGGGCTGGGCGGGCGGGGGCGGGGCGGCGTGCGCGCAGACGGGCGGGGGAGGGGCCTCGGCCTGAGCGTGCGGCGCTGGGGCTGAGGAAGGGGCTGTGGCGGTGGCCTGCTGGCAAGGGCGGCGCGCGACGCGGTGGTGTGTGTGTGTGTGTGGCGGTGGCAGCAGTGGTGATCTGCGGGCGGCGGGCGGCGGCGGGATGGGCGGGTGGGGTGTGGGCAGGGTGTGGCGGTGTGGGAGGGCAAGCGGCGGCGTCGGCGGGGCTACGGCGCGAGAGGAAGAAGAAAAATGGAAAGACAAGGATCCGGTAGATATTTCCGAGCTCAGCGCCAGAATGACTGGCGCCGAGCCCCCTGGCAGGTCATCGACCGTGCCCAGGAGCTCGGCGCCGAAGACTATCGCGCCGAGCTAAGGATCTATTTCCTGAATTCTTTTCGCCAAGAATTTATTTGTGAGAAACTTAAAAAAAAAAGACCCAATTGTAAAAAATTCGGACACCGGCCCCTATCATGATGCGTGCAGCGTGCGGGACGCGTTTTTGCAGCTTGCTGGTAGTTGGTCTGCATTCTTTAAAGCGCCGATGGTGAAGAGAGAGAGAGAGGAATTGCAATGAGAACTACAGGTCAACTCAAAGCGCGTCGTCTGACTATCAAACTGCCACGGCCTCACGGGACCGTCGGGTGCGGATCTCGGTCGTCGATCGCTGCCAGCACGGTCCGCCGTCGGATCGGGCATGGGCGGCCGCCCGCGCGACAGGTGCGCGCGCAACCGCACGTGGGGCCCCGTGCGGGCCGCACGTGCCGACAGGCCGATGAGTAGCGGCAGGTCTGCCTGCGATGGCGGGTGGTGACTGGAGAGTGATGACAGGTGAGAGGGCTTCACTGGATTGCAGCTCATTTTGGGATTCCATCGTGGAGGGTTAGGTATAGTTTAGTTCTCAAAATTTTGTAAAATTTTTCAAGATTTCCGTTACATCGAATCTTTGGACGCATATATGAAGCATTAAATATAAATAAAAAATAAAATTAATTACATAGTTTAGATGAAATTCACGAGACGAATCTTTTAAGCTTAATTAGACTATGATTGAACACTAATTATCAAATAACAACGAAAGCGTTATAATACAATTTTTCAAAAAAAAATCGTCAACTAAACGAGGCCCAAATTAAAGTGGGCGGCAGCGGCACTCGGCTGGAGCTGGGGTGGGCGTGCATGGACTTCACGGCTCCGTAGATTAGTCCCCCGGGCCCAGAATCTCTTGGACATCGTGGATTAGCATAACGGCCCTGTTCGACTGAAGAGTTTTGATCGAAACTAGCTAAAAAAACACTGCTGTGGCTGAATTGTTGTGGAAGAAAATTACTATTTCGACTAAAAAAATAAGCTGAACAAGCTGAATATAAGATAAGCCGAATGGAGTGAGAAATGCCAGTACACGATTCCCGCATCCGAGTCGTTGCATGTGCAGCGTGCAGTAGCGGTGTAGAATTCTCGGAGGCAGGCGAGCACTGGCTGTGCTCCGCTGATGATGTTGGTTGTTCAAGAAGCGCGGAGACAGCACCTAACCTAAATTAACACAGCGTGGCGTCAAGAAGTTTGACGAGAGTGCTCACAAAAAGTGGATAGTGGATAACAATGGAACAGTGCGACCAGCCTTTTTACACCGGGGTTGCTACAGTCATCAGACCACCGCGAAGTCCAGTCCCAGATATGCCTGTCACGCGCAGAGTCCAAGCAGTAAGCACGCGTCGTGCTGCGTACAAGGGGAATGTATGGCCAGTTGGCCACAGCCGACATTGCCCAATCGAATATGATATATGACAAAACACACCTTGTTTTGCCCTAGCTCAGGGAGTTGCAAATTTGAGCATTTCCTTATCAGCAACCCAACAATGTAATTTTTTTCCTGTACATGATGGATCTTGCTAAACGAACTATGTACAAGGTGTTCCTATATGGGGAAAAAAATCACACGCACGCAAAAGAGAACACAGGCAAAAATGGCAAAACCGGAGGATCTGTTGTAGAAAACCGTGCACCTTCCAAATCATCTAATACTAATAGCGCCAAAACTGCAGAATTGCACCAACTACCCGCCACCTTGTGTCTGAAGCAACCCTGCATGGCATTGATTCCTCAGGAGGACGATCAGGAGGTCCAGGATTACACCAATTGGTCAATCACCCGCACGGCCGCACCCATCTTCAGTAAAGGCCACAGGGCATAACGTTTGGTAACAACCTGCAGAGAGCCAACAACCACCTTACCGTATGCACGGAAGCAGCCAACATGCATGATTGTAATGCACTAATGTGGTGTGCCTTCACATGTTCGAACAGCAAACATTGCTTTCACCTTGAAGTTCGAAAGACACTGGTAACCACAAACCTGGCTCATTCTGAAAAGAGTGGATTTATAACATGACGGAAATTAATACCAGATAAATAAAGATTCTACACAAACCATGTAGACAAAAAGTTACCATTTTTTGATGTCATGCTAGAACTTGAAAACAAATCGACTAAGGACTTGGGTGGGCCGTTGGTCAGCTCCAGATAGTAGGATTTTTGAATTGTGAACATATTGCATCAGACAGGAACTTTATTAGTCCCTCTCTTTCAACATCCTTCTCCTTTTTAAAATCAAGATGCCGAACCTGAGGCATGCCAAAAGGGAGAATCGATCAGAACTTCCTCCACACTTAGAACACTTATTGGAGGTTTGTACAGCAATAAGCAAACACCAGATTTGTTTCATTCCAATTTCCGAATGATCATCTTTTTATGTATCTATGAGAGTCTCACTATTTTATAAGATAGTTTCTGCCTCCCATTTTTATATTAGAATAACAGCAAAAAACATGGAAGTGTTAACATTTTTTCGATGCCTCAAACCGAGTTCCTGTGAACACGTGATACAAGTATAGAACTGGCACTAACATGAAATTATCCTGTATAAAACGCCCTTTTATGAAGGCGCTTTATACAGGATAACTTCATGTTAGTGCCAGTTCTATACCCTAAGCAAGGTACCTTCATCAGCAGAAGCAGCCCCGAATTCTACTTAAGTTGGATATTTCGAAGGCATTTGATTCCGTGTCCTGGCCCTTCCTACCTGAAATATTGCAGCAGCTCCGTTTTGGACAAATTTGGCGGGATATAATCAGCGGGCTGTTATTTTCTTCTTCAACTCAAGTCTTGTTAAATGGGATCCTGGGTGACAATATTGCACATCGACGAGGGCTGCGGCAAAGGCGACCCCCTCTCCCCGATGTTGTTCATCCTGGTTATGGATGTATTGGGGCACATGATTTCGAAGGCTGAAAATGAAGGCTTGCTGCAGCCACTATCTAGGCGCAGCTTACATCACAGAATATCCATTTATGCTGATGATGTGGTTATGTTCCTCCGTCCAGAAGCTGGTGACATTGCTGTAACCTTGGGTATCCTCAATTTGTTTGGAGAAGCAACGGGGCTCAAGACAAACTTACAAAAGAGCAATGTGTTGCCCATCAGATGTGGCGATGCGGAGCTTGCAGCAGTGCAAAACCTGCTGCCCTGTGCACTCACTGACTTCCCATGCAAATATTTGGGATTGCCTCTCTCTTTGAAGAAGCTTACCAAGGATCAAATTCAGCCTATTATTGACCGCATTGCTGATCAGCTTCCTGGCTGGAAAGCAGATTTGATGACCAAGGTTGGAAGAAAGGTTCAAGTTCAGTTTGTGTTCACTGGTATGCTCATCTATCTAATTATGGCCCCATTGATTTCCCACCTTGGGCTATTAAAGAAGTGGATAAAATTCGGCGTGGGTTCCTTTGGAGAGGCCGCAGAGATGCAAAAGGAGGGCACTGTCTTGTTGCTTGGGGTAAGGTTTGTATTCCTAAAGAACTTGGGGGTTCAGGAATTTCAGACCTTAAATCCCTTGGCTGGGCACTGCGAATGAGATGGGTCTGGATACAAAAAACAGAACCGCATCGCCCAATCTTCCAATTCATGTGCCAGAGCAAGTCAGAGCCTTCTTTGCAGTGGCTGTTTACTCCGAAGTTGGGGATGGAGCGAACACCCTTTTCTGGACAGACCGTTGGCTCCATGGCCAATGTATCGCAGATCTCGCACCTCGTCTTTTCGCCGTCATCCCTAAAAGGAGGACCAAACAACGAACTGTCCAGGATGCCCTCACCAACCAGACTTGGATTTCTGATATAAAAGGGGCTCGCACGGTTGGCGTAATTGTTGATTACCTCCTCCTATGGGACGTCCTATCTGATTTCCTTTTGCAACCGGATGTTGAAGACAAACATATTTGACGGTTTTCCTCAGATGGACAGTATTCGGCCAAGACTGCATACAAGGGACTTTTTGTGGGGTCTACATCTTTTGAGCCGTGTGAAAGAATTTGGAAGACTTGGGCACCGCCCAAATGCCGCTTCTTTGTTTGGTTGGTGGCTCACAACCGATGTTGGACAGCGGATCGCCTTGCACGCCGTGGACTCCCTCATCCTGAGCACTGCCCTTTGTGTGATCAGGCTACAGAAACTATTGATCACCTCTTAGTCCAGTGTGTCTTTGCAAGAGAATTTTGGTTCCGCTTCTTTTCTCGGATTGGACTTCAAGTTTTTTCCCCGCAGTCCTCAGAAACATCCTTTCACTCGTGGTGGGAGAGAGTGAGCAATGCTGCTAGTGACATGTAAGGAAAGGAATCAACTCTCTCATAATCCTAGGAGCTTGGACCTTATGGACACACCGCAACAAATGTGTTTTTGATGGTGCAGCCCCAAGTGTTGCAGGTGCTCTTGCTGTAGCAGAAGATGACAGAAGGTCGTGGTCGTTGGCGGGGGCTCGAGGATTATCCCTCTTGGATGCCCTCGCTCCGGATGGTTAGCGCCCCGTCTATTGTGGTGGTCGTGTTTTCTCTGTCACGGGCGCGTTAGTTTCCTAGCAGCAGTAGCAGCTACTGCTGCAGAGTGTGTTGTGTTGTATGGGTTCTTACTTATTTTTTTATCTTCTTAATATAATGAAGCGCAGCTCTCCTGCGTTTTCGAGAAAAAAAGTATAGAACTGGCAATTTTATCATTAATCCTAGTCAAGCAGATGGATTCAGTGCTGCTGAAATTGGTCATACAAGCTCAACATACTATAGAAGTTTTGCTAGGTAGAAAGTACAGTTGAGATATAGTCAGATATGAAATGCTTTTAAAAGTTCATACAGCAGAAACAAACAGCACACATGTAAATAAAATGCATAGTAGTTGGATAAAAGCAAGGTACTTAATACATGGAAACTAGTTGAAACAGCAAAAACGAAATACAGTGGCAGCTTTAATGTATTTACCTTCACGAGATCTGTTTGTGACAGACCTGATTCAGTGATAAATGCAAGGCATTTAATATCATGATCACTGGCATATTCATACTGTTCTTGAAGACTTGGATCTTCCTGAGGAACAAACTGAGCCTGAAAATAGTAAATCCATCAGTAGTGATCATAATAGCTTCAGTCTCCACACTAATCTTTGCCCATGATCCTTATAGAACCACCTTTATGTTAGCTTTCCAAAGCTCTGCAACAAGTTCCATGCGTTCAGTTAACAGACCGCCACCACCCCTTGAACAGACAAGTACACTGATGCTAGGTTCAATCCTGAAGGCCACATAGATTATTTTATAAGTTATTCTTTTAGAACATAGATCACATAAATTATTGGAGTTTTTAGAATCAGTGACATTGGGATTCGTAATTCAGATCACCTGGACAGTAACCTTCGCAACCCCAGATCAGATGAAGGATTGTTAGGAAGAAATTTCTCAAGTGCAATGCTCACACCAACAGCACCTGGGGGTTTAGATTTCTGCACAGGTTATACAATTAAAATACCGAAATCATGGACAATATCTCTATATTTTCTTTTCACAAAATGAAAGGAGAAAGGTATTTTTGTGACAAATCAGCAGCAACAACAACAACAATATATCTTCCTTGGACAAGTACGGGATAATATACAGCGTCTGAAAGAGGTCACTATACAATGTAGTTATTTGTTAAGATAAATGGTTCAAGGTATATCCTTTAACACACAGGAGGCATCAAGTACAACTTACATATGCCTTATCCCAAGCTTGTTCCGCCAACTGATCATATCGTCCACCAACTGCCAGCAACTTTTCATGGAAACTCGGTCCATGATTACCTTCTTTTGAGTATACCTGTGTTGTGTTGAGATGGATAAATTGCAGTGCGATATCAAGAAATATGTAAATTTTAAAGGAGCAAAGCATCAACACTCATAAAAGGAAAGCATAGAAAATGTGAAGAACATTGCAAAATATCTCCTAAATATTGACACGCCACACATTATTTCATATGACTGAAGACTGAACTAGGAAAACCTAGTGGATGCAAAGAACATTACAAATTGCAATATTTTGTTTTCTATTCTTTTCCAACTATATTCATTCTCAAATAACTAAGATAAGGAATAGATATGACATTAGAATGCTATGGTCTTTCATAATGAGGAACAAAATAGGGTTCTCTCCCAAGTGTGTTCTATAAAATGTTCCAAAACAATTTAGGGATAAAAGGAGACTTGAAATGGTGGAATATAACCAAAGACTTAGCCTTAGATAGGAGTGCTTGGAAAACAGCTATTCACGTGCCTGAACCTTGATTGTTTCTGCTGGGTTTCAACTCTAGCCTACCCCAACTTGTTTGGGACTTAAAGGCTTTGTTGTTGTTGTTGAAGGTTACCGTATTTCACCTGGAAAAACAAATCTGTATAGTAACATTCTGAGGGAGGCATGAGTACATCAATAGTAGTAATTGGTTGTTCTACCGACCATACTCTCAAACATCTCAGAAGCAAGGATAGATCATCAAGAGCCTTGCAAGCAGATTTATCTACAACAAGAAACACACAGTAGCAACAATTAAATGTGCCCAGCTTTAGCAGCTAATAAAACAAAGATTAAGAACCACTACCATAGAACAGGGAACCTCTTAATCTAGCAAGTACTAGATCTGCAGAGCCACAAAACCGCTGATCTGCTTTATGTAGCTTCTCAACAACTTCTTCAGAAAGCCGAAGATCCTGGACCATTTGATAAACCAGCCAATGTCATCAACTATTAAGTGAAATTCTAAATTTTCACTAAATGATGTTCATATGCTGATATGCATAATAATCTAGCACAACCACTTTCATATAAACAAAAAAGATTCCCAAGAAAAAGCATTTACAATGCCAAAAGCACAGTTCTACATGTCCAAATCGAATCTTTTAGTTGGCCATTGGTAAACAGGACAGGTTGGGCATGGAGAAGCAAGCACCTTTATCTAAGGAGAAACACAAAAGAACACATTTACCACTCATCCAAGTGTGTTAGTTGCAAATTCCATATTGTAGTGCTATCAAGGATGGCCTTAAAAAGAAGAGAAAGAACGGCTACAAAAGTACTCCTTTGATATTGCATTGTACTGTATCTGTTACGGCGTGTCTTGCTGCGTAGGAAGTATGGAGGCGAGACGAGAGGGCGAGGGCTAGGAGCACGACGGCGTCGGACGGGCGCCGTGTTCACGCGAGGAAAAGGACTCAGGGGCGACTCCAAGATGACGACCAATAGTATTAGGCTGGGTGCCCACGGGAGACGTAAGTCTCAATCCCAGGCTAACCTCTTCCTCCATCCAATGGTTGGCCATATAGGCACTTACAAGCATGCGCTAACAAACGCTAACAAACTCCACAAATTATTCCTGTGATCTAACAAACTAACTGACTCAAATAAACTACTTGTGACTCAGCCTTCAGCCGACTCAGCCCCCTGGTGCAGCCGACTCAGCCACTGCTGTGGCGTCTCTTGCGTTCATAGGTCCGGCCGACCATAACAGTATCACTATGAATAATGCTTCTTTTACCTGTAAAAGTTGCCCCCTAATCAAACTCCACTGTGACTTGCGGTCAGCCTCATTTGGCCAATATTGAACAAGAGTTGAAGACAGAAACTGAAACAGTAAACGAAATATTTCAGCTAGCTGAAGACAAAAATTGCAAAAGTTTCAGAAACAGGTAAAGACAGAACATCACACCTCAGCGACATTATGTCTTCGATCCTGAGAAACCCCTGCCCAAGAGCAAATTGCTTCAGCAAGTTTACCGTGATTCAGGCGTATGACTAGTGTCTTGGAATCATAAAAACGGGTCCCAAGGTCCAAAGCCACCTATCATCGCATGGATACAGAGTTATTTATATGACAATACAAAACTACATTTTTAACATTAAAATGGACCTTCCAAGATAATTCTCTCTTTACAAATGATTTTATTACAAAATGGAAGACAAACTATAACCAAAATGATAGCAAGAATATAGTTGCAGAGAGGAGGTACAAGATGGGCTGCCATGTGGAGATATGCTACCTTGATGATTTCAGCCTCTGGAATTGGTGAAGTACCGCCAATAATGTCGAAATCACCCTAACAGGATATCAACATTATGTTTCAGAAGGACTTCTTCAGTTATTTCGAGAGCAAAAGAGTAGAAAATGGAGGTTGCAAAGTATAAAATTGTCGAGTTTCAATGGAAATTCATAAAGAATTTACCTGAAGAAAACGATAAGGAGTTGAATGGCCAACCGCTCTTCTATGAACCCATGATATTTCATAACGCTTGAATGATGATGTCTGTAGATGAATTTGTGAGCAAGTAGGGAGAGAGACAAGAAAGAAAGGAAAACGGTGTCAAGTTATTCCAGAAAATCCCAAAACAGTGGCTAGACGGCTGGCTGGTTGACCTGACCTTGATCAAATGAATATTTTCCTGGATCACTAAACCCCTTAGAAGGTGAACTAGCAAATGCGATCACACAGCATGCACATTCACATTAAAAAAATTGGCTAATATATTCTAAAAAATGTGCATATAATTAAAAAATCAATGATCTAAACATATAATGCAGACTGCATCTATGATAGTATGACCTATGTCCAAAATGACAAGTTAAAAGAAAAATGGAGTTAGATGAAACATAACAATTTAACAACTAAATTATTTTGTAAGAAAAAAAGGCAATGATCCATATACTAGTATAAAAACTCAGAATATGCATATATAAAAATTGGAACAAAAATAGAAGCATAAACATTCACACAAGAGGAAAGAAAAAGGACAACTTGTCACATACCTGCAGCAATTGACATAACAAATGGTGTTCGCAGTTCATAGCAAAGTTCTAGCATCTCTCCTCCTTGAGTTAAGATTTTCACTGTGTTTCCCCTAGAAAATTGTAGGCAATTGTTATGAACACGAATCTGGTTGGCTCTAACCCATGCAGCACAACAACAGCCAGCGGATAGGCAGCAGCCACACCACAAGGGAAGGATAGAAGCGAGAAGGGGACTGGGATAATAGATTGATATTCTTCTTATTTGATTTGATTGTTACATCTCCTCTCCATATATAGAGAGGCTCACTTGACTTCTAAGCAAGATGGCTAATCTTATTTCTAACCCTAACCCTAATGGGCCTCTCATACTACTGAAATGGCCCGTAAGGCCAAGCTGACTACACAGGATAGCAATAAGATCAAATTTCAGAGTAAAGCATTAGTAAAAAAAATTGGCATCACTTGTCGGTTTCTATCTTATGAGATCATCAAACATCCATCAACTATTACTCCAAACAAAACATCATACATTTAAATAGTCTGGAAATAACTTACCTATTTTTGGTAAAATTCCATTCCAAAGTATGCAAAGGTGAGATCTGGAACCTTTTAGCACAATGCCGTTTGAAAACCTCCTTGGCAACCTCAATGATGGTATCCAAAAGTTCACTGTTACCAATGTTAACAGTGGACTTTTTGCTGCTATCATGTTGGCCTTGCATTTTGGCAAACCTGTCCTCATTAAATATGGTAGATATAACTCGGTCATAAACATATGTGTCTTCTGGTGTTTGTATCATTCTAAGTACATCTGTATCAATTGCCAAAAGTAGTAATATAAATCAGTCAAATAGATAGGTGGCACTTCAATTATAGGGCTAATTTAAAGATGTACAAGACACAGAAGGCTAGTATGGCTCCAGCAGACCAGCGCTTCAAATATGAGTTTAACAACAGTTGCAGTGTCTATTTACCACAAACAGCCTTCAGAGATTAGGTTGAAATCCTATAAAAAAAAAAGAGGCAAACGGACCAATTCATTCAATAAATACACTGCACACACAAACAAGTACGCACACAGGCGCATGCACAGAGCACAGACAACCGGTCTACATATAAACAGCCAATCAACTCACAAACGACAAAGGCCAGAGGTGCACAATATAGCAGACAAGTGGGGCCCTTAGGTAGAAGGCCATGTGAAACAAGCAGAAATATCAAATTCCTCAATCCAAATTCTTTTAGCAGTCATCAATCTCAATCAACGATCAGTCATGATCTGTTCTTTTGGTAGTAATGGTGTCATACATAAAAGTTAATGGCTTACCATTTAGCCACTCATCTTCCATCCGAGGAGGCAGTTCATTTTGCAAGACCTCAACAGCAGATGGACGATTAGACGGGCTTGGTGACAGCAAGCTTCTTAACAGGACTGCCTGACGAGGAAATTTTGATTCCCATGACAATGGAGGATCTCCCTTCTGCTTAAGATCAGAAAGAACAAGATGCCTTTCCATCGCTGTGGCAAATGGATGTCAAAGCTCAAAAAATATAACTCCCAAACTGTACATGTCAACCTGACAATTAAAGTAAATAAGAGCAAGCTAAGCTTGAAATTTTAGAGTTTGCCTAGTTGCCATTTAAAAATAATAATAATAAGTCATATTTCACCAAATTTTTAAACCATTGGTAGGAGCTCTGCATTCATTTCGAGAATAAAAGAAGAGCTCTGCATTCATTTCGAGAATAAGAGAATAGCATTCATTTTGAGAATAAGAGAATACACTGTCTGCAATGATAAAGGAAAAATAAATACTAAAACATAGGCAGTATGCGAGATCAACAACATTTCACAAAGTTTTTTTTTATCATTTGTTAAGTAAAAGTCCAAGTAATTTGTTCTGACCTTTTCATTAATCTGCAGCCATTTCTGCTCTACCTCTGGTGCAGTATAAAAATATGTACCAACTTGACCTGTTCCATCCATTGAAACACCCATTGCTTCAGTAGGGAGATATTGGTCATGATCTAGCTGCTCCAGCTTCAGAAATTTGGCTGACAACAATGATAAAATATATTTTAGCTGAGATTTTCTTCAACTAATTTTGGAGAAGAGGAAGCAGCCATTATTACAAAGTCAAACACTGAGGAACCATACACTACCACCGACCCACTTACATTTTTGTCCTCGCTTCACATAAAAGAGTTAACCCATGGATGGCAGTACAACCAAGGTGGGACTAACACCCCCCCCCACCACCACCACACAAACACACACACACAATCTCACATCACCATACACACGGACCCACTGTGGGGCATGTTAGATATAGATGTATAGGTGTCTTTGCTATTTCCTCTTTGTGTAAGGGCTTCTATGCATATTTGCCCATGTACATGTTTGGGCTGAAGCCCACCGTAATGCACTGAGTTCATTCACTCCTAACATGGTATCCAGAGCCGGTGTCTAGGTTTACCTCGCTGCCGTTGCAGGCGTCACCGGCATCGTTGCCGCCGGCGAGTGCCCCTGCTTTGCTCCTCCCGTGCGCCCGCGCTTCGTTCAGCAGCCTTCGTCGCGCGTCATCCATGACGCCGTCGCGACCATCGCCCACCGCAATTGTCGGGCGGCCGCGCGTCTGTGGCGTGTGCCCGCTCCGGCTGCTATCGGCTGGCTGGCGCGCCTCCGGTGGACGCCGACCTCCCCGGGCTGCCGCCGCTGCCCCTCCCACGCCGGGCGCTGCCCTCTGGTTGAAGCCGCCGCTGCTGCGCTTCGCCAGTAGCGGCCCCCGCTTTCGCTCGTTGTTGAACCGCCCGCTCGCTGCGGCCCTGCCCCCTCGCTCTGCGCGCGCCTGCTCTCGCCAGCGCCGCAGCTGGCGCGCCCTCCACTCGCTTTCGCCGCCTGCTGCTGCGCCGCCGGCGCGCCCTGCGCTGCTCTGCGCTTCTTTTGGAGCGAGAGAGCTGCTCTGCTCTGCATTTTTTTCTCTTGGAGCAGAGGAGAGCTCCGCCCCCCACAGTTCTCTTTGCACTCTCGAACTAGGATGGCTTCAAGTTCAGATCCTCAACCGGTTCTTTGGTGCGCTTTCTCGGTCTTATGGGGAATTGATTCCACGATGTCCGATAATCTTCAATGGCACTAATTATCGTGTTTGGGTTTCTCGCATGCGTTGGCATATCGTGGTCTACGGCTTTGGGATTTTCTCTTTGGTGAACTGCCGTGTCCACCTTTACCCACCTCCTCTGTCGTGAGCCGGTCTTTCCTCCCGCAACTTCGACGATGATAAGAAGAAATTGCATGATGAATATAATGATGATATGGCCTCATACATGTCTCGATTTTGCGAGATATCGGACTTGGTTGGATGAGGATGCTCGTGCAGTCTGCGTTCTCTTTGCTAGCATGGAGGAACATTTGACCGCCAATATTGTAGAGTTTGACTATGCTTCTCGGATGTGGGCTTTTCTTCACCGGCGTTATGAGCCCTACGGTCATCCACATACCTTGCGGCTTTACGCCAAGAGCAGTTGTTGCAACAACAGGTGATGCTACAATTGAGGAGTTCTTTAACTTGACTCTCTAGTGTGTGGCGTGAGCTTGACACTCTGAGTCCTCATTTGTCCCCCGCCACTTGTGAGTCCTGCGAGGAAGCAACAGAGCCACCTTGAGCTTTGGCGCATCTACGATTTTTCGACTCGTCTTCATCTTTGAATTCGAGCCTCTTCGTGTGCCAGATTACTAGCTCGTGAACCCTATGTGTCCCACGATGGATGCTCTTCATTGCTGTTCGGAATGAAGAGATCCGTCTTCGCTCGCTAGCTTGCTGCTGCAGATCAGCTGCCTTGTCGATCTTGGCTGTTCGCTCTGCACCTTCTGGACGTCCTACACCCCTCCCTACAACACCTTCGTCAGCGGTGTCCTATGGGAGTGGTAGTACTAGTGGACTTCATTGCAACTACTGTGAAAAAGATGGACATGTTGAAGATTATTGTTATAAGAAGAAGAAGAAGGAGAAGGCTCATTCACGCCGAGGTGGTCGTTCCTCTGGGGTTACGATCGTTCTCATCTTGGACCCTCTTCGAGTAGCTTGGTGGTTACGAGACACAGGAGATACTTATGTTGCTTCGTCGGCTAGCTCCTCGTACTGCTGGAGCTGCTAGTTCTGTCACCCCAGTCTCTGCACCTTTGGTTTCTGCTGCTGCCTCACAATCTTCCACTGGGGAACCACCGTTCACTTTGGTACTTTGCCATGGATTCTTGATTCTGGTGCTTCTTTTCACATGACCTCTGATTGTACCAGTCTTTCTTCCATTCGTCCTTCTTCTACTCCTATCATTGTTCAGACCGCCGACGGTTCAACTCTCCCTGTTCTTGGACAAGGCACTCTTTTGTCCTCCTCTTTTCATGTTCCTACTGTTTCATATGTCCCTAATTTGACCATGCAACTTATTTCTGCTGGCCAGCTCACTGATCATGGTTGTCGTGTAATTTTTGATTCTGACTCTTGTCGTGTCCAGGATCTCAGCACGGGTCTCCTGGTTGGTACTGGCCCTCGCCGCCGTGATTCTCAGCGTCTTTGGGAACTTGACTGGCTTCGTCTTCCTTCCGCTGCCTCTGCCAGTCTTGTGGGCTCTGCTTCTCCTGCATCGGCTTCTTCATCTTTTGCTCAGTGGCATCATCGATTGGGACATTTATGTGGTTCCCGGTTATCCACTCTTGTCCGTCGTGGTCTTTTGGGAAATGTTTCTAGTAATGTTTCTTTAGATCAGTGTCAGGGTTGTAAGCTTGGCAAACAACTCCAACTTCCATATCCCTCTAGTGGATCAGTGTCACAGCGTCCCTTTGACCTTGTTCATTCCGATGTATGGGGTCCTGCACCCTTCGTTTCAAAAGGGGGTCATCAATATTATGTCATATTTATAGATGATTTCTCTCGCTTCACATGGGTGTATTTCATGAAACATCGTAATGAGGTGTTATCCATATATAAGATATTTGCTCAGATGATTCATACTCAATTTGACACTCCTATTCGTGTTTTTCGTGCTGACTCTGCTGGGGAGTATCTCTCGGGCGCTCTTCGTCAATTTCTTTCTGAACAGGGCACTCTTTCTCAGTTTTCTTGTCTCTGTGCGACGCTTCGAGAATGGTGTTCTTTGGCGTAAACATCGCCACCTTCTTGAAAGCGCTTTCGTGCTCTTATGATTGCTTCCTCTGTTCCACCTCATTTTTTGGGCTGATCGATATCCACCGCCACTTATTTAACTAACATTCAGCCTTCATCATCGCTCTTCAAGCGGAATCCCATATGAGCGCCTCTGTGGCAAGCCACCAGATTACTCCAGTCTTCGCCTTTTTGGTGTCTTTGCTATGTCCTTCTTGCTCCTCGTGAACGCACTAAGCTGACATCTCAATCTGTTGAGTGTGTTTTCCTGAGCTATAGTGCTGAACACAAGGGATATCGTTGTTGGGACCCTGTTGCTCGTCGTCTGCGGATTTCTCGGGACGTTACTTTTGACGAGTCTCGCTCATTCTATCCTCGGCCTACCTCTGATGTTTCTCCCCAGACCGTTGTTGAGCCTCTTTCCTTCTTGATCTTTCCTGATACACCTATCTCCACTGTGTTTCTTCCTCCTCCACCATCTCCTCTTGCACCCTCTCCTTCGCCGCCTTCTCAGCCGCCTTCACATGTTCCTTTTAGGTCCATTTATGATTCCAAACCCCCTGTGATTCACACCTACAGTCGTCGCCTCCAAAATCCCTCGCCTCCTGTTGAGGCGTCTCCTGATGTTTCACCTCCGGTTGAGACATCTTCGGTTGCGGATATTTCCTCTCAGCCATCCTCTCGTTATGATCTTCGTGATCGTGGGTCGCTAAAGCCTACAAACCGGTATGGTTTTGCTGGCACCGTTCTTTCTAAGCCGGCCACATACCATGATGCCATTTGTCATCCGAATGGCAACATGCCATGGTTGAGGAGATTCTTTGCTCTAGAGCATGACTTGGCACTTGGGATCTTGTTCCTCTTCCTTCTCATGCTCGTCCCATCACGTGTAAGTGGGTTTATAAGATTAAGACTCGCTTTCGAGATGGCTCTCTCGGCGTTATAAGGCCCGTCTTGTTGCTCGTGGTTTTCAACAGGAGCATGGTCGTGACTATGATGAGACTTTTGCTCCTGTGGCTCACATGACCACTATTCGCACTCTCCTTGCTGTGGCCTCTGTTTGTGCCTGGTCCATTTCTCAACTCGATGTCAAAAATGCCTTTCTTAATGGTGAACTCCATGAGGTCTACATGCGACCACCTCACGGGTATCTTGTTCGATGGCAGCGTTTGTCGTCTTTTCGCTCTCTTTATGGGTGAAACAAGCTCCTCGCGCTTGGTTTCAGCGTTTTTCTCTCTGTGATCACAAATTTGTTGGTTTTTCTCCGAGTGCTCATGACCTGCCTTGTTTGTTCATAATTCATCTCGTGGCCGCACTCTTCTTCTTCTTTATGTTGATGATATGCTCATCTTTGGTGATGATTCTCGAGTATATTGCATTTGTGAAGGCACGCGTCTCGTTGAGCGATTTCTCATGTCCGATCTTGGCCCTCTTCGTTACTTTCTTGGGATTGAGGTCTCTTCAACCTCTCGATGGCATTTATCTGTCCCAAGAAAAGTACATTCAAGATCTTCTTGATCGTTCTTCCTCACCGATCATCGACTTGTTGAGACTCCCATAGAGCTTAATCTTCATCTTCGCACAACCGATGGTGAACCTCTCACCGATCCCACTCGATATCGTCATATTGTTGGGAGTCTTGTCTATTTAGGTGTGACTCGTCCACGACATTTCATATCTTTGTGCACATTCTTAGTCGGTTTGTTTCCGCTCCCACTCACCTCCACTATAGTCATCTTCTTCGTGTCTTGCGTTACCTTCGTGGGACCATTACTACTTCGTCTGTTCTTCCCACGCTCTAGCTCTTTTCAACTCCAAGCCTACTCCGATGCTACTTGGGCTAGCGACTCTTCCGATCGTCGCTCTCTTTCAACCTATTGTGTTTTCTCGGTGGTTCTCTAATTGCTTGGAAGACTAAGAAGCGGAACCGAGGTTTCTCGCTCGAGCTATGGTGAGTTGCGAGCTATGGCTCATGACAATGAGAGGTTACTTAGTTGCGATGGCTAATTGAGGATTTTGGTGTTTCAGTTTCTGTGCCAACTCCTCTCTTGTCTGACAGTACCGGTGCTATCAGCATAGCTCATGATCCGGTGAAGCATGACCTCACCAAGCATATCGGTGTTGATGCGTCTTACACTCGGGCACAAGTGCAGGATGACATTACTCTTCGCTATGTGCCTTCGGAGCTTCAGTTGGCTGATTTCTTCACAAAGGCACAGACAAGAGCTCAACATAGTTTCTTTCTCTCCAAACTCAGTTTTCGTGATCCACCCTGAGTTTGAGGGGGGGTGTTAGATATAGATGTATAGGTGTCTTTGCTATTTCCTCTTTGTGTAAGGGCTTCTATGCATATTTGCCCATGTACATGTTTGGGCTGAAGCCCACCGTAATGCACTGAGTTCATTCACTCCTAACAGGGCAAACCCAAGCTAGGCCCAAACCCAAACTAGGCTAGATGTCACATACACCCTCTCAAAGGCTCGACCGTCATCGTCAACCCAACATACCCACAACCAGGCGAACGATGACTAGGAACATTCTCGCACACGATCATGTCCACGAAGGTCAGCTAAAATACCATTTGTAACACCACAAATGGCTCTGATCCACTAGCACCAACTCACTTACACATTTGTCCTCATTTCACATAAAAAGGTTAACCCAGGGATGGTGATATGAACTCTAAAAGCCATGTGGATCTAACCCGCTCTGACACTCTCAATAACCAAGATGGGACTACACCCCCCACAATCTCATGTCAACATACACATGGGCCACTATGTGACAAATCCAAACTGAGCCGGATGTCACATAAACTTCACATAATCACACTTGCCACAAAGAACGGGTACTTCCTCCGTCCCCAAAATAATTGCACATCTCGCTTTTTGAGAAGTCAAAAGAATAAGTTTGACCAAATATATACAAAAATATACTAATATTTATGATGCACAATAAGTATCATTAGATTAATAGTGGAATATATTTTCATAATGAACATATTAGGAGATACAAATGTTGATAATATATTCTATAAATCTAGTCAAACTTAAAAAGGTGACTCCTCGAAAAATGAGATATGCAGTCATTTTGGTACGGAGGGAGTATGTAATTACTCAACAGGAATAAGCATTGACAGTAGTATTTGCCAATACCACATGAAACAACGAAATAATGACAATGACATTTTATTCTATATAACTTATTTTCTCAAACGCATACAAGAACTGTGCATCACAATATTGAGAAGGAAAAATCCAAGTGGACAAGTGCATAGAAGACAAGAAATAAAGATAAAAAAGAACAACAAAAAGGACTCTCACTGGAAGACCAGTAAAACTCACACACACAACCCCAAAAGGGGAGGAAAATAGCTCATAGGATCGTATCTGACACTATGATGGAGATTGAAAATATATGACAGTTCTGGACATCATACCTAGACCAAAATCTCCAATTTTAATATCATTGCGGACATCAAAAAATATGTTGCTGGGCGTCAGGTCTCTGTGTAGGATTCCTTGACTATGGACATGAGCTAGACCTTCCACAATTTGTCGAAACAGGTGCCAGGCATGGTCAACATCAAAAGATGAGATGTATGTCTCAAAATCCTGCCGCAAAGTCCTTCAGACAGTAGTCCAAAAGAAATTAGATACCAAATAGCTACAATCAATACACTACAATAGAATGGCATTCAATGACTGAAAATACATAAAGAAAGATCACATGTCTAAAGTTCCAAAAGTCAAACTACCAGGCCCTCAAGAACCTTTCAAGATTACAAATTCAATTTCAACTCTGCAGTAACTTACACCCTCCAATTCTTTTTAAAACACAGGGATCATGGAGTTCATAAAACCAAGAAAATTGAGGGAAATCATTATATATCTCATATTACTGCCTGAGTGCTTGGGGAATAAGAGAATTCTTAATAGTATCAAGAAGAGTGAAATTTTTCGTGGTATAAGTGTAGTGTATCCTTGATTAACTATAACAAAATTTTATACGGCTCAAACATCAGTAGTTTGACTAGTTTCTCACATAATAAAAAAAAATAGTGAAGAAATAGCAGCACAAATTTCCTTAGTGCACAACTGCAAAATGAAACGCACCTAGGACAATACTCCATTTGAATGTACAAGTATGTGGATTCCTGCTTATTCCCACCACCTGCATCCGATAGGCTGACTTCATCATAACTAAAGATAGAGCTCTCAGCAGTGCGGGACCCACCAGCATTCAAAATATTATGATGACCGTATTCAGTTTCAATCCATGCCTGGCATCTCAATGACAGTTGAGTCAGAATTGGCCAAAACAAATTGTGAATACAATGATTATTTTTTCGAAGCAAACAAGCATATCAGTGGAGATATCACCTGGTAATAGCGGACAACATGTTGATGTTGCAATCTTGAAAGTGTGGCTACCTCTCTGAGTACCTTGCAAAAACATTCATGAGAACCATCAAAAAGGTATAACAGATGTGCTAGAGCAAACCCATTAAAAATAAAAGGCAAAATTAAAAAAAGAAACACATCCACATAAGTTACTGACAACTAAATACTGTATCTGTTTCTTCTTTGATGATATCATACACAGCATGTTCGAGAACAAGTAAGCACTAGATACTTTTTCTCAAATATACACAGAAGAGCTGCGTATCATTTCATTAAAGAAGAAAAGGAACCAAGTACACACCCCAAACCACATCACACCACTCCTGGAAGTAAGCACTATATTTGTGATCCTCATTGATTATAACAGCTCGTATGATCTATAGGAAGGCATAATGCTTTGTTTATATAATAATAATACAAAGATACCCATTAGTCAACCAACACCTTCTTTGTTCATTACAAAATGCGGAAGTGACATGAATTTGCATAGCAATAGTGCATACACAGATTCAGAAACTTGCAGTACAGAAAGGAAACAAGTGAGGCTTTATAGTTTATAATATATATATGCTATTATCAAACAAGTTTCTAAAACATGTTAGCAGTCACATGTAGAAACCCTTTCAATAGTTGATCTGAGGATACAACGTGTAGAGGGGACTTGATTGGCCCAAACCAAATAAAAATACAAGTAAAAAATGCATAATATATATAAAAAAAAGGAGGCTTGACTGGTGAAACTAGAAGTGATATTTACATTTCTTTCACCAAGATGATCTCCAAATAATATAAAAGGGACGCAACAACTGCATAAAGCAACTACAAGCTTTGAGTAAAAGAACTTGACTGGACTATAGACAAACCTTAAAATCTTCTCATTCACTTGAGGACTTCTATCCTTCAGGCGTATCTTTTTAAAAGCATATTGGCGCCCATCTAGCTTGTTTTTGCATAATGCAACACAACCAAAGCCCCCCTGACCTGTACAAATGATATCTTAAGAGTCATGCTAATCCATGAAAATACATAGACAGTTAAACTCCAACAAATACGATTCAATAATGAAGGTGTGGCCTTTAACATATATTTGGCTAGGAGCGCACCCTGGGCATCTGAGGATCCAGCCAGGGGTGTAAGCCCAAAAACCTAAGTTTACTATAAAAATATAACATGGGCCCAACCACAATAACAGGTTCAGCCTGAGGCCCAGCTCATTTCTACCATGACCAACCACAGAATTCTATGTGAAAGTTGAAACATATTCATAATAATCATTGCATAGTAAATACACATTTGCCCACATTAGCACAGCACATCACCAACCACCCTAAAATAAATCACAAGGCGGATAACATCATTTAACATAGAGTGGGCTAAGTACCTCAGGCCAATAGTAACAAAAAGAATGGTTCAGATTTAAGGATTGACAACAATTGATCAAGGGGTTTATCCTCAGATCTGCTGTTGGTAGTTACCTAGTAAACATATAGTGGGGCTTAGTATATCAGGATAGGAGCTAACAAAGGCATATAATAACCAGCGCATCAGCCTCAATCTGAAACAACCTTGCATAATTCCTTCTGTAAAACACAACTCCCTCTGTTCCCAAATAGAGGAACAATTTTTTTCTTCTTGCAGGCTTAGGGATGGAACTTTATCCATCTCTATTCTGATAATTGTCTGAGAAAATATTAGAAGACTATGATCACATGGAAGTTCTTTTCGTGACCAATATACCGTTTATTTTAGGAAAGTTTTTACAGCTTGTCTGCATGTATTCCAAAGTAGCATCTATTTTTACAAACTTTGAAAGTATTTAAACATAGCAAGCACTAATTCACAGCAATACAAACAGACAAATTCTTCTGACTTTGTAACTGATACATCCTGAAATAGTACAATGAAGCATTATCAATGGGAATATGATACTCACCAAGTGAACGGAGCTCCTCAAAATCATTCAAATAACGGGAATTCGGCCTAGATGATGAATTATCAGGTCTCCAAAATAGAGAGCACTCTGAAGAGATCTATTTGATGCCATCAGAAAGCCAAGTGACAATTAGATATGATCAACACCAAGATAGTATTTGTAGAAATAAATCATGAGTTAGTAGAATATAAACAGGTGTGGCTTACCATTTGTTGCCCAAAAACATGACTGAATGTTTCCCCAAAAACAGCAGGAGTCAGAAATTAAATCCTTAGCCCATTCAGAAAGAATCTGGTTAACACCAAAATGGGAAAAAATGACCATTCAGTTGGGAGTGGTAACAACGAAAAATAAAAGGCAAATATATAGACAAGACTATATGCACCCCTATGTTGCACAGCTCTGCTGATATTGTTGGCAAAGCAGCTGAAAGAGAATCCTTCGATGCACAGGCTATCCGAAGCAGATGCACCAAATTAAGATTCCAAACAAGGTTCACTACTTATTACTTAAGGAGAAAATATCACTCAAAGACGGTGTTGTGAGAGAAAAAAGATACCAGAATTAAATCCCTTTTCTTGTTTCGTGAAGCATCATCTAACATGTCTGAAACATAAGATAGTGCATTTGAAGAGCTAAAGTCTGAATCACAATCTTCTTAATTCCAAGGTTCCTTTGCAAGGTCAGTGTCCTACTAGTATTGATAAATATGCAGTCAGATTAGGTTGAAGCGCAACCTTTTCAACTTAAATCAATTATTGACAGGAAAAGCAGGACTGCAGGAGCAATAGAACAAATCACATAGTGTAATATCGGAAGACAAATAGGTCACAAAATAATTGACATGGCAATATACCAGGCAGATGAATATTATACAGTTAGAATAATGCATATGTTGAGACTTGAGACCACTCCACATGTTTCACTTCTATCAAACCATCAGATAAACAATTGAGTTACTTAGGAACAAAGGTTGACACTGGACAAAAAGGGCATGCCAGTGCAATCAGTCAAGTGTGTAAACATAAGAACATTGCAAGTAAAATTGAAAAACTCCATCACAAGTAAAAAAATCAAACCCACGAGGGCAATTACCAAAAGGACTTGACAGTTGACATACAAGTCACGATATAAATGGTTTTCCTTCAATCTAACATTGTTACATACCAATATTACATTTTCGCCTTTTTCATAGCAGTATTACTCATAATGGCCTAACCTCGAGGGACCCTAGGTAAACTTTTCTTCATTTTTTTGTATAATTATAGAAATGTATTGTCATAGTTGATTCATGAAAGACACTAAAACAAAAGGAATCTGCAATAGTTCTGTTTTATTACCTCGGGTTCATTTAGACTGCTAAAACCCGTTTCAGGAGTATCTGATGTATTTCCTGTATTGCTAGCAGACAAAGTTTTGGTTTCAGTTTCAGTTTCCTCATCCACAACATGTAAAGTTGGAGCTGCCTCCCGTATGGCACCATGCTTTGTGGCATGTTGCTGTTCAGCTTTATCACCAGATGAGCCTTTAGCATTATTGACCTTATCAGCTGAGACATGGGATTTTTCAATGATGGTCTTCCTCTTGCTTCTAATATTAGATTGAACTTGAGATACAATATTTTTCCTGCCACTATCTGTTGTCAGATCTGGACCTTGGCGACTCCAGCAAGTATCATCATATAACTGACTATATAGATCGAAGGAGTTATATACGTAAGAGATTCCAGGGTAAGGATCACTGTCAAGGCTAACTTCCACATCTTCATCGGTAGTTGAGCTCAAACTCAAGAAAGAAGCCTACAACAACAGATAATATGAAATCTCAGATATGTAATCAAAGAGCAACAGCTGAAATAATAATATAATATCATGAATACATGAAGCCAAAGATCAATGAAAAAGGTTCAGTGCAAAGGATGCATCCCTAATTTCACTATGCCTTACAATAAAAACAAAGCAAAAAAAAAATTGTTATACAGTCTATCAGAGGCAATGTGGAAACTTACAGTGCTCACTGAAACATGTGCTGGAGCAATCTCAGACAGAAACTCTTGCGCAGCCTCAAACAAATTGAAAATCATAACACGTCCTTCTCGGGAATAAATGTTTGCCTGATAACAATACATGAGTCAAAGGTGAAGAGGCAAAAATGAATCATCACAACTTGCTAATATAAAAACAAAGGTATAATTTGGAGGCATAAATTACTCATAATTTGAAGTACAATGTAACACAATAAACTTCAATATTATTGATTCTCTTGACAGATATACTAGAAAACATACTTGCGCCTTTATTAAATAAAGTGATACTCGGACAATTATTTCACAGTTCAAACACAAACAGAGCAAACATATACAACTTCAGCAGTTGCCCTTCCCCAGTGGAATGCATGCATGTAACCCGAACTGTTCTTATAATTTTGCAGCATGGCAGTTGCAAGACAAATAGAGTTCAATGAAAATTATTACATTAACAGAAAACCAAAAAAGGAAAACTAACTTAAGAACTAAGTGATAGTTAAGTTAAAAGTCTACGTCGATAGGGCCACCCACCTGGCTCAAATCTGGATGTTCGCAAAATGTGTGTACCACAATGAGAATCAGTTTCGGTACTCAACTTCTTTAAGCATGGGGGATGTCAACTCCCCATTGTCATTTTTTAAAGAAAAAAAAAAGACCTGAATCCCACTAATTTTAATGAGGCTTTTCATATTAATGCTAATACCTGTGGTCTCTTTGAAAAAAAAAACGTATCATACTATCATGCAATATGGTCAGGTGAAGTCTAATATACCTGATCAACAAGAAGCGAAAGTAGCTGATCTGCATCTTCTTTAGACAAGTTTTTTTCATGTACGATCCGCAACTTTGGGCACTTGTGGGGGTAACCAGGAAAGCATCTACATTTTAAATCAAGAGTTGAATGTCTAGCACCATTAACAACAAACAAGAATAGGTAAAGTCACGACGGCTTCGAGGAAGACACTTACATTACACTAAGAATAGCTGAAATATTTAGATCATCAAAGCCCATGCCGTCCGAATAAGGCCTGTTTAAATTATTCAATGGTAACTAACACTTCACTTGTTGAACATGAGTATGGAAAAAATCTATGTGTATGCGCATTAGAAAATACCTGATACATATATTACATCGTGTATGAGGTGATTCTGATGTTACTTTGAAGTCCTCCCATAAAATTGAAGCCCTAATTGATGTAGAACCAAAAGGTGCAGTTAAGATCATGTACAAACAGAAAAGGGTTAATAAAGGGGCACAAACTAGATCATGGAACTAAGCTCTGATTGCTTCTATCAGAAAACCAGTTATTCAACCCCAACTCCAAATATAAATCTAAGTTAGCTTGTTTTTTCTGCTATTGATGGACATGCAGACAATAGACAAATATCAAATTCAAATAACACCACCCAATTACACCCAAAAGACAATGGTTAAAATCTAGCAATGACAAGAAACAATAAAAACAATAAGTATTAGACGGGGAGCAATTGTCAAAACTATCAGCAGAATATAAGGTTGACAAGGAAGAGGCTGAGCTTGGGCACCCACCCTACAGGCTGAACTTTCTCACCAACTGAACAAACGAGATGATATTATATTCTATACAGCCTCGAAAGCAACAGATTGCATTAGGCGAAACGGCGAAAGTCTACATAAGCACAGCCGTATGATCGATGAAACTTCCTTTCCAAAAAAAAATGAAACGAAGACCAGTGAAACTGAAATATGAGACAATGTGAGAAGGCCAGAGCAGTGGTCGATACACCACACCAAAATCCGCAACGGATAGGAATCATGTATCACGAACAGTAGGCAAATCGAACTGCTCCCAGAAAACAAAAGTACTGGCACACAATAGATTGTGAAACACCACTCCGGAATACAACTATCAGCAGCGGCAACACATGAGTCGCAGTTGGAGACTTCGAAGCAGCGAACCAGACGCCAACATGGACTTTACTCCTTACGCGCATCGCGGCGGTCAATGAGGAACGACACGCAACAGCAGGTATTCGCCCAAAACCGACTTAGCGAGAGGAGAAGCGGTTAACCGGAGAAACTTGGTGATGGTGCGTGACTTACAGGGCGGTGAGCTCCTCGTCAAGGGCGGTCTCGTCTCCTTCGAGCTGCGCGGCGTGGTCCTTCGCTGCCTTGCGGCCGGCCGCGCCGCGCTTCTTTTTCTTCCTAGAGCTGTGAGAGCAGCTGGAGCTCGCGGCGTGGCGGCGTGGCGGGCGTCGCCCTCGCCCGCCGGAAGAAACGGGAGCGGAGATCTGCGCTGGCGTGGCGTCGGGCGGAAGCGCGGCTTTAGCCGTGGGTGGGACTTTAGGATGGATGGGATGGGCACAGGGGCGCCTCGACTCGAGTCCAGCACGACTGCCGAGTGGGCCCGGGCCGCGAGCAGTGTGAGGCGGCGAGATCTTTGGCACTGTACCACTTTCGTTTGTATTTGATAATTATTGTTTAATTATAGTCTAACTAGGCTCAAAAGATTCGTCTCGTAATTTACAATCAAACTATGTAATTAGTTATTTTTTTATTTACATTTAATACTCCATGCATGTGTCCAAAAATTTGATGTGATAGAAAGAGTGAAAAAACTTAATCTAAACAAGACCTAGTTTTGATAGCATCGGATCGAAAGCAAAACGGCGGCTGCGCCGCAGCCCACAGTACTAGATGGCTATCGGCGGCGGCTACTATGTGTACGGTAATGCTCGGCATAGGCTGTCCGTCCGTCGGACGGTGGCCGCGTAACAACCACGTCTCGTCTGCTCATCCAACCGTTTAAAAAAAAGAAAAAACTTACCTCACTACAACATAGCCTCGACGACGGTGCTCTCCACCGCGCTTCTCTTTCCACTGCACCTCCTCTCCATCATGCCTTCGCTCTGCGGACGGCATCTCCTCCGCACTAGAACACAGCAGCCCGTCTTCTTTCCTCTCCACCATATCTCCCGCCCGTCGCAGGCGTCTTCAGCGCACGGACCCGCCGCTGACTTCTCCACGGAACCTATCGTGACCTTCTCCACCAGAGCAACGAGCTGCACGCCATCGGCAAGCTCTACACCGGTGAACTCCACGCGCCAACGAGTCTCCATTCTCAAGCAGGAAGAAGATGCTGCGCTGAAAGCTCATGTTACAAATATATGTTTCAAATATTTCATATGGTTTAGAGGTACATGGTAGGTGTTTCATATGGACGTACAAAAGTAGATCGGGATACTGCATATACTGCAAGTGTTTCAGAGACATATTACAAGTATTTGTTCAAAGTGTTTCGTCTATTTCAGACGTATGTTGCAAGTATTTTGATCTGGATGTTGCATATGTTTCACACATATGTTGCAAAAGTATGTTCCAAATATTTCAGTTGTTTCATTCTTATGTTGCAGTAAGTATTTTCATGTTACAAGTGTTTTATCTAGATGTTTCATATGTTTCACACAAGGTTGCATGTCTATGTTCCAAATATTTCATCTGCTTTAGACTTATGTCGTATTTCAAGTGTTTTTATGTTACAAGTGTTTCGTGTTTCAGAGGTATGTGTGGCAGAACTGTCTAATCTAATGCCTCCTAGGAGTGCTTGTCTTCTATTAGACACTAAGCACTCGATGGAGGACACCAAATCACGTGGTCGCGTCGAACACACCCCAGGGGAGAACCTAAAAATCCACATTTTCATCATCAGGATCATAAATGAGAGAATAAAACTTACATCATTCTTAACCATTTCTTATATCACTTTTAATACAACATCAGAATATAATATTTATTATTATAACAGCGAAATATAATCATACTATCAGAGTTATGAACAATTTAATTTAACAGCGGAATATAAACGTGATCAGAATTACAGCGAAAATAAATACATATTCATGAAATGATGAAGCATTGATATATAAACTATGACAACAGATTATGAAACTTTTATTTATAAAAACATTTAGTGAGAGTTATAAATAAAAGCTATGATCGTAGCGTAAAGGAAATCGTCTCTGAGCCCACCAGGAGAAATCCACACACAAAGGTTAGCTCTAGCCTCCACCTATCACCTGCAATAGGGGGAATAAAACTCTGAGTATTCAATTGTACTCAGCAAGACTTACCCGACAGGATGAAAGAAAAGACTCCAATGATATACAAGGCTATCTGGCTTGTGGGTTTATTGCATTTGCAGGAAGCATTACTAAGCGTGTGTCCTTATATTCGATTTTTATTAATAACCGCTTTGGTTCATTAACTAACCATTCTATGTAAGCACCTATGCTACTTTCAAGCAGGGGGTAAGCAATCAGATTTCCTTTTTTCATTGTTCATCTTTCAGTTCTTACTACGGTGATAGGCCGTAGACAAGTCGTATCGGAACGCCGGTGATTTGTGAATCAATGCCTACAGCTGGGTACCCCGAAAACACACGCCCGCTTGTACCTAAGGCACAAGCAGAGGACCAACCTATCGCCCTCCTGTCCTGGGTGTCTAGGTCCCCATCCAAACTGGGACTCCAAGCCCTCACCCCTGAGTCCTAGACTCAGTGCGGTGCAAGGACCTCTTAACCAAAAAACCACCAAGACAGTCGGTCCGGAAAGAGCCAGATCCATGACAAGAGAGCAACAAGTCTTCCAAGCGCCCATACCAAAGTATGTGCTCAGGATAATAAGTCTATGACTTGCCTAGAGTTTTATGCAACGACTAGTCCTTAACCGACACAGACAGGGAAAAGCAGTGTAACCAAGCCATGCCCCGCGTCCACGGCGACACAACCTCTTACACCCACCAATACCCAAACCATATACCTGCCCGGTCACTATTTTCCTTTCCACCATTTATTTTTTTTAAGTGATAATGATATAGTAACATATTTCATATATCTCTCGAGTGACAGGCAATCACTCGACTTCTACCGATTCCTGTAGCATAGCAATCTACCCGATCCTGTCATACTAGTAAGACTCATAGGATAATATATATATATATATATATATGCAAGTGGGTTTTATTCAACTCCTTAAAACTTAATGCACAAATATAATTTAAACTGCAGAAAAGTAGGAGTTATGCACCGGGGCTTGCCTGGGTAAGATATATAATAAAAAGTTAGTATCTGCATCTTCAGATCATCCACCATCATCTGAAAAGAAAGTCCATTGCATCATCTCCTAGAGAGAATACAATTACATCATCTTTGGATTTCCAATCATCCTTCAATTGATCTGTTGCTCCATCATCGTACCTATATGATATGCATTGGTGCAAATGCATAGATGTAAATAATCAACGACAACCGAATTGTTTAGACACCCGATCACACCTCACAAGCTAACGAGCTCGCTCTAACGACATCCGCACTTAGGCTACATATCCATGATGAATAAGGCATTATTTCTCAACGAATGTTTTAGTTATATAAACCCAAGTTGTTTTTTTATTCCATTCTATCGATTTAATCATTATTTGAAATAGGACATCATTATCTATCTAGCAAACTAATTATCCTGAAACTATAAAAATTACAATGAGTACCTAATATTGCTAGAAATCTACTATAGAAATTCTAGATCCAACACTATTACTAATTTACCACGGAAATTCCTATAAGTTTATATTTTATAATATTAAGTACCCTAATTAATTATATAGCTTCCAAGAATATTATCAAACTATATGAACAAAATATACTAACAGGTAGATCATGATTTTAGGAGACTAACAAAATTAGTTTCACCATTTTTTTATTTTTATTTGATTTATTATGGATTTATAAACTTCAGCCATTTTAAACAAATAATAAAACTAGCAGAAAAAAAAACGCATCACGGCCATTAACGCTTGAAACCCAGTGGCGGTGAGCAGTCTTGGCCAAAAGGCCCAATGACCCAGGTAAAGCGGCGGCCAAAGCGAGGCAAAGACCAAATGCCCAATGACCAAGTAGAACGGCGGCCCAAAGTGAGGCCAATGGCCCTAACATGGGCAGGGCATGAGCTGCCTCCAACCGGTAGGCAGCCAATGGC